ACTGTAATCGTCTACAATAGAGAGGAAATAACTGTTTCCTCCATGTGATTTTACTATTTTAGGTCCCCATAAGTCAGAATGTAAGTAATCAAGGCAATTAGTAGCTAAGTGAGTTACTTTAGGGAAGTTGTTTCTATGCTGTTTACCTAGGACATATTTCTCACAAAATTCTAAGGTAGTGACAGTGTCTTTCCCAAACTTCCCTTGTCAATTTAGAACATCCATCCCCCTTTGACTCATATGACCCATCCTCAAATGCCACTTTTCAGTCACAGATAAATTTGAAGAAACAAGTGCAGTATTGTTACATTCAAAATAGAAGCCTCCATAGAGAATATAGAGGCCATTTATCTTTTCTCTTGTTCAGATTAGCTTTTCATTTTTCTAGACATTTAACCACCCATTGTCAGCCCTATAGCAGCGTCCTACTTTATCTAGGGTACCTAAGGATATGAGGTTTCTCATAAGATCAAGGATGCACCTGACTTTGGTTAGTCTAATCAATTTTCCCCCACTTAACCTAAGTGTTATGCTGACCATTCCTTTAACCCTACAGGCTTGATTATTTCCCATGAATACTGTCTCATGATCAAAAGTTTCAAATTCTTGAAACGAACTCCTATTTGGGCTCATATGGAAAGTGCATCCAGAATCTAACACCCATTCCTTAGCAGTGTCAGATGTTGACATTGTAAGGACTTCTGGTTCATCTATCAGGTTATTAGTGGTAGCCAAATTTTTCTCAGTGTTTCCTAATTTATGTTTCTTCTTCCAATCAAAACAGTTTTTCTTTAAATGACCTGTTTTGTTATAGTAAAAACACTTCGTTGTTTCAGTCTTAGCCTTACTATTTCCTTTCCATTTCTTCTTATTCTTACCCCCTTGGATATGCTGGTTTCGTTTACTAGATTGGCCGGATTCTATTCTACCCTTTACAAACAGTGTGCTGTTATTTCTCTTAAGGGTTTTAAGCTCTAACTCCCTAGCCTTAAGACCAGAAACAATTAGATCTACACTAGGTACAGTACCCGAGTACTGTAGGGCACTCTTGACTACTTGGTAGTCTTCCGTTAGTAAGTTTAACAGTATCATGGCAAGGCTGGTATCTCCCAACTCTTGGTCTGTGCCTTTCAAGATCAGAGTCATTTTTAAAAAATCATCCAAAATTTCCTCAATTGATTTAGAGTTATCCATTTTATACGAAAATAAAGCTCCCTTTAAAAATGAAAGATTTGGTGCAGACTATAAATCATATAAAGATTCAAGCTTACCCCATAATCTGAGATGAGTTTCGAATCCATCTACCTTTCGATGCACGTTGTCCGAGAGGTTCATCACAATCAGGTTGTAGGCCTCTTTGTCAATCTCCTCCTTCTCCCTTAATTTGTCCTCTGGCCACTTCTTGGGGTCCCTTTCCAATGCAATTGTGACCTTGTTGTGTGAAATGAGGGCTTTCATCTTCTTCTTCTAGCTTTTGAAATCTATCTTTCCATATATTGGTTGATCTCCAACCGCGTGGTGGTTGTAGTGTTCATTGTGGGGTTAATTTCAAAAAGCCCCAATTTGTAAACCCTAGATTTTTTTTTTTCTTTTTTTTGCCCTAACCTTTATACGAATTCTGGAACCCTAGAATTTTTTTTTTCAAGATTTGTCAAGATTGACAAATATCACTCAAATCTCGAAACCTTAGTTCTATAGGAAGACTCAGAGAACTCAATTTTTAGAAATCCCCAAATTTCCTGAACCCTAGTTTTCAAGAATCGTCTTCTATCGGGACACTAAGACTTAGTAATCTAATCTAGACTCCAGAAGCAGCTCTGATACCACTGTTATACAAACTAAGGGATTCTACTCAATATCAAACACACACACAATCAAATCAAGAACAGAAAGAACATGGTGATTTACCGTGGTTCACTTATCCTTATAGGATAAGCTACATCCATGTTGAGCTCAGGAAAGAGATGAGCTTGCTGCACTAACTATTATCTCAAGAATCACGATTACAAACACAGCAAATCAAGCCAACACAGAATCACCCACCCTGATACAATATATCCCGTAATCAGCCCTTAGAGAAACTCACCTAGAAAATCTATTTGAGTGAACAACACGCTCACAAGAATGATTACACCCCTAATCACTCTAATCTAACTGATTACACAAAGCGTGAGTAAGAACTTTACAAACCCTAACTTCTCAATCGAATATCGAAGATAACAGTGATTCTATCTCTTTCGAATGGAAACAAATGAGCTTATATATGGTTGACCTGGTGGCTAGATTGTGGCCGTTGGATCTGAAGAATAATCTACGGTCAGGATTCATCTGATCTTTTGCATGAAACGACGTCGTTCGACTTAACCAAAACGACACTGTTTTCAGGCTTCCACTTCAACAAGGACCATATGACCATGGATATTTTGGCTGTTTCATGCCAAGCCTGCAAAATTAATCTTATCTTATTATTATTATTATCGTCACTAGATGCATGGACGGACATAGAATTTGATGTTAGAGGGGGTAAGTTCAAAATAAAATAAATATAAAATTTATAATAAAATAATCATCGAGGGGTCAAAATATATCCAATTGGCAAAATAAATTATATTTGATAAAGTCGACATAAAATATATTTAATTAATAAAAAGCTTATCTTCTTAAACAAACAAAACATTATTTGTTTAATAAAACATGAAAAACAAGGTAGTTCTACTTTAAGATAGGTGGGATCAATTTGCAAAGTAAATTACAACAAATAAAAAAAAAAAAAAATGTGAGATAAATACGGAAAAAGTTAATAAAAATAATTTTTTTGAGTAGGGTCACCAGCCCCCACTCGCCCTTATGAAAAAAAGTTACTTGGTTCTGTCCCTGATTAAATGCCTGCTTTTATCTTAAAAAAATGTAATTGATAAAACTTTGCAATTCTCTATGATCAAAATTTGTACAAATAAATACACAAGAAAGAGCTATAGGCTCCAGGAAATTGTCCATTTACGGTCAAGATATTCTTTTTGCTGCAAAGCCTTGTGTATGGAGTTTCTTCAACCTGCACGTGAGTAATATATATAGTATTATTTTGGAAATAAAATGCGTAAATATATATTTTATACTTACCACAAAAGTGTAACGAGCACCAGCTTCACAATGGAGGAAATTGCTCAGTAATGCAAAGGCTAAAAGTTTTAAGACTGAAAGTTTCTTGATGAGGGACATTTTTTAAGTAATGACTTTTCTTGTCTTCGCTATGATGCAAAGATGAGAGCTCTTTCAGCATTTATAGAGGTTTTTATTAAAGACTGAAAAGGACCAAAGGTTTAAAAGTTTCTTTTCTGCAAATAAAGTTTCATTAATTAGGATTATGTGATAGGTACCAGAGTGATTTTGACATATTGAGAGCATTATTTTCAATAATTTATATATTTTTTTAATTTAGTTGTAACTCGTGTTTTTAGATAAATTTTGAAGATATGAAGAAAAATTAATTAAATGAAAATTAAAAGATAATAATATTCCCGTAACCACATTAATGGGTTTGAGTTAAATTTTGTAGTTCATATTCCCTTTTTAATTAAAATTAATTGGGTTGTATTTTGAAAAAAGAACTTCGATATTTGATAAGGTTATTCTCAATTAGAGTATTGTATTTTAAAAACCCTAAATGTTTGTTTATTAATAAAATAATATCAATTGAACCATAAATGTGTCCGTTTATTAATACAAATGAAATTTGTATACTTTTGTCTTTATTTTTTTTATTTTTTTTTTGTATTTGATATTCTAGAATATGTATAATATTTGATATTTGAGAAAATGGTTTCATAGATTCTAACAATAAATTTATACATAAATCCTCTCATATGCGCGCTTCCAAAAATTTTGACCTATCAGCCAATAGTAAAGAATTATTTATTATTTTTATTTTTGTGGTTTATGAAGTCCAAATGCAAACATCATGAATTTTTGAATGCACGGAAGCAATTGAATTGAATTAGTTAGTGGGAAGGAGGTTTAATTCAATCGTACATTTCTGTTTCGTCAAGAATAGATGATTATCGTATTTAGTCAAATTGATTCTGCTTCTTTCTTTTATTTTACGATACTTGTTCTTTCACCGACACTCTTTCTTAATTAATGGTTAATAAATACATTGTTAATATGCAAACTTTCTGATAACATTTGTGAAATAATCAGTTTAATTCAATATAACTTTACGGTGATAATGACTTCTACTGATATATTTTATGCTCTAATGAGACTTAAATCTAATTAGATTTAAAACACTGTCACATGTTTGAATTTCGAGAAGATAACAATGAAAGAGATTGAGTAAAAGAAAGATATATCATCGTGTATAGAGTATCTTATCAGTACTTTATTATGAGTAACTTGCTCGTCCAACAGGTAGTTATCAAACCTTAAAATACAATTAATACATAATTATAATCTCCATGAAAATGGCAAAAGATTGCTTTATTTCTTTATCAAAAAATAAATTGCTACAAGTTTCAACGCCGAATTTTAATGTAATTTATTGCCTAAAGGTGAAATCACAACATTATTGACGACATACAAATGCAATACAATTTACCAGTGGCCCAAGCTGTTGGTTTTATGAGCATGAATGTGGTCTTACGGGAGAGAAAAGGATGATGAACAAGGGAGAGAAAAGAGTAGTTATATTTGCATTACTGTAAATTGAAAGTTACAGTAGAACTTTATACACATACAGAAACTATTGCACCTAACCATTAAACATATTTTACTCCAAAATATCATCCTAACCATACATTCTTAGCAACTCTGATTACATCACATTAATTTGATACAAGGTTAACAACCAAATACATGCTGAATTCACCAAAATACATCACTTCAGCATGCCTACAGATCAACTACGTGTAACTGCTCTAGACTAGCTTCCAAACTTCAAACTTTTTCTTTTGCCGCCAGAACACTGCTCCAATTTAATCCAAAATATTGTTTCAAGCAAAATATCACTCCTTTGAACACTCCTCCTTGATATTTTTGCTTGAGACACCAAATTTAAGCTTCATGTCTTCAAACTTGGACTTACATAGGGACTTAGTAAATATGTCAACCAATTGCATTTCCCCCTTACAGTGTGTCAATCTGATTTCTCCGGATTGCTCAGCCTCCCTCACTGCATGAAACTTGATTTTTATGTGCTTGGTTCGACCATGCATGACTGGATTCTTTGCCATAGCAACAGCAGATTGATTATAATAGAAAATTTCAGTAGGCTCACACTATTTTACCTCCATATCAGCTAGCAAATTTCTCAACCAAATAGCTTCATTTACTGTAGCTGCAGCTAATATGCATTCAGCCTCTGCAGTGGATTGTGTCACTACTTCTTGCTTCTTGGAAGACTAACAAAATGCACCATAATTCAGTAGGAATACATACCTTGATGTGCTTCACATGTCATCACAGGAGCCTCCCCAATCACTGTCTACATACCCTATCAATATGAAATTTTCAGATTCCCTGAACCAGATTCCATGATTTACAGTTCCTCTAATGAATCTGAGCACCCTCTTGGCTGCTTTAAGGTGCTCCTCACTTGGTTTGCTCATAAATCTTCATAAGAGACTTATTGTACGAGATCAGGCCTTGTTGCTGTTAAATATAACAAGATCCCAATCATTCTCCTATAATCTGTTTCATCCACCGAGGCTGCTCCATCATCTTTGCATAGCCTTTGATTTTGCACCAAAGGTGTGGCAACCGACTTGCATTCATCCATTCCAAATTTCTTAAGCATCTCATTAACGTATCTCCTTTGACAAATGAAAATGCCATCTTGAGATTGATGGATTTCCATTATAAGGAAGTAAGTCATCACTCCCAAATCAGTCATCTCGAACTCTTAGGGCATTGCTTTCTTGAACTCTTCAACCTGAATTGCATTTTTTCCTGTCACCAACAAGTTATCCACATACAAGAAAACCATAATCACATCTTCATTGGCCTTTTTTACATACAAAGTATGCTCATTGGGGCTTCTTGCATAACCTAGGTTGACTAGGTAGTCATTAATTCTGCTGTAACAAGCTCTTAGAGCTTGTTTCAGGCCATATAAGACCTTCCTCAGTAAGTACACCTGGTCTTCTTTCCCCTTGACTTCATGTCCGTTAGGTTGTTCAACAAATATCTCCTCATCCAACCAACCATTTAAGAAAGCTGACTTGACATCCATTTGATACACTTTCCTCTTGGTAGGCCTGTCCACAAGTTCCCATGTTCCATTCTTTTTTATCATGGACAACTCCTCCTGCATAGAAAGTCTCCATTCCTTTAACTTAGTTGCTTCATGATAAGATACTAGTTCAAGCAATGCAACATTGCATCTCCCATAAATCTCAGCAAGAGGTTTGGTTCCTCTAACTGAAATTTCTTCTTCTGTTTCAGAATCTGCCCCATCAGTTTGGTCAGCAACTTGTTCTCCTTGCTGTGGCCGTGGATCAACTTGAATTTTCTTCTCTTCCCAATTCCACAATGACCTCTCATCAACCTTTACATCCCTTAAAACAACTACCTTTTTTGACTCTGGAATGAAGATCCTGTAAGCCTTGGATTGGAGGTTGTAACCTACCAGAATTCCAGCCCTTGCTTTGTCATCAAGCTTTAATCTTTTGATCGCTGGTATGAGCACATAACATACACTTCCAAAGACTCTTAGCTGTTCCACTTGAGGCTTCACTCCATACCATGCTTCAAATAGAGTTTGATCCTTTAAAGCTTTGGTTGGAAGCCTATTCAGCAAATACACACTAGTATTGATAGATTCTGCCCATAAAGCCTTCGGTAACTCTTTTTCAGTCAGCAAACACCTGGACATCTCCATTACTGTCCTATTTTTCCTCTCAATCACTCCATTTTGTTGAGGAGCATAGGGACAACTAAATTGATGCCATATTCCAACCTCCCTACATGTTGATTCAAACTCATTTGAGGTGTATTCACCTCCATTATCACTTCTCACATCCTTGATCTTTACTCCAACTTGGTTTTCAACTTCAGCTTTGAACCTCCTAAACACAGTAGCAACTTCTCCTTTTTGCTTTAGGAAGTACACCCAAGTCATTCTTGAATGATCATCAATAAACAAGATGAAAAGCTGGATCCATTCAAGGATGTGGTCTGCATTAGTCCACACACATCAGTGTGCACCAATTGGAGCTTTCCAGTAGCTCTCCAGGCCTGGTTTGTAGGGAAGGCTGGTCTGCTAAGCTTCCCTATCTGGCATACTCTACATAAGCTCTCTTTCTCTTCCATTTCGGGTAAGGTATGTACTATCCCTTTAAGCTTCATTTGCTTAAGTCCAACATAATGGTAATGACCATATCTTTTATGCCATAGGTCTGTATCATCTGAATTTACTATCATAGCATGAAACTCTGGTTTTTTGAGTTCAACCGGGAAGCTTTTCCCAACCATTCTAACATGCATCATCACATTTCCCTCATTATCTAATATAGTGCAGGTTTTGTTTTCAAAGTGTAAGATGTAATTTCTTTCAAGCATTTGTCCTACACTAAGTAGATTTTGGTTGATTTCAGGAACAAATAACACATTGTAAATAATCTTTGTACTTGTCTGTTAGAGTAGATGCCCTAGAGCCAATCAATTATTGTAGAATTGACTCTTTGTAATAATGTTCATTAATCAATGAAAGGCATTTTATTCTATATCGTGTAAATCATTATTATTGTAATATGTATTGATATATGTCCTTAGAATGGTAGAACCGTGACGAGGGTATCAAGTGTTTCAAATCTTAACAGTGAGAACCCTATGAGCACATATGGTGGCCATTCTAGAAATGTTTGTAGCCCTAGTATTATTCTGAAGTAAGGGCACAGATAATACGGTAAGGCTATCATAGTGTTGAACGACCCTGTCGAAAGGCAGTGACTGATCTCACTTGTCAATGTTGTTTGGTGACAACCTGGTGCAACACATGGGTGCTTGCTGTAGGCGGATATACCGCAGCAAGTTCACTAGACTGACCCACCAGAGGATTCCATATAGATGGTAACCCCAGTGTCTATGGAACAAATCCTTTAACGGATGGTGGTGCATGTGATCCTTAGACTTGAGATCACCGGAGTGCCTTGTGCCGATTGGTGCAGTTTGACACTAGCCTAACGCAGTTCTATTCAGAGCTATCAATACAGTGGTGATTGGCTACATCAAGGAGTGTATCAAGACTATGGTGGATTGACAGAGGATTCATCACTCCTGGGTACGGGAGAAGTTATCTCACGGCGCAATTCAGTAAATGGCAATGACACTAAAACTGTGGCCACAGTGAGATTGAGTTATTGCTCTATCTAGTTTATAATACAGGTCATTGGTCCAGAAACTGAATACATAATATTGTGAGTAACCAAAGGTTGACACTATTTCTATGCCTTCGTCTCGTCGAGATAACGTATGATGAAAGGATCGAATTGTATAGTAACCATATCATTGATAGGTAGCTACTTTGCTGAATCCGAATCTATCGGGTGGCCATGATGCCTTGCTAGGGGCCAATCTTAGTCTGTGTATTAGTGAGACGATTAATTGGTGTTAATCGCAATACTATACACTGTCAGTATGATGAGGAGCCTATGGGTCACACACATAGAATATAATTTAAGACTCAAGAAGAAAGAAGGACGTTTTCATCTTTTTAGACGAAATGGTATTTTGATAATTTCACAGAGCAATTAAATTTGCTGAGGTCGTAGCCTTTATTTAATTTATTATTATTGTTAAATGTTAATATATATATTAAATATATATTAATTGATTTTAATTGAAGATAATGATGAATTAAAATAAAATATCTAATTAGGAGTGTTTGGTAACATGGGGTGTTTGGGTTGGAGCACAAGCCTATTCCATATGGGAATAGGGCAACTTAAGTTTTAATATAAAAGAAAAAGTGTAGAGATTTTTCTTAAGGTTTTTCATTTCACTTACTTGATTAAAATATTGAAAACTTCCAGCCCCTTAAACACTTTCCCACGGCAGATTCATTTTTGCCCAAAATCAATTCATTTTGATTTTTTCTTCTTGATTCTTAAGGCTAAGGAGGATCTAGCAAATCCCTCTTTAGTTCTTTGTGATTGTCTTCGTGTGGACTTCATTGGCTCAATCCTACACTTGGGTCGGTAGCAAAACGTTCAAAGACAAAGTTGGAGGAGCCTTCAAACGTGCGTAAGGTTTCTAAACTCGTGATTAATATTTCTACAGATTTTTATTTTAATATAAACTGTAAAATTGTACCTTTGATCTTGGCTCAATGGAACGATCCTTGTTATTATGATTTTGTTTTCCGTTGTGTATATGGACTGTTTCCTAACACTGTCATGGTCTACACAGCCACATCTTCCCTGCCTTTAACTTTCACAAGTTCACCATGTCCCACCTTTACACTTGACTGGTATGCTTGATCCAGCTTCACAAAATTCTCCAGATCAGGCGTCATGTGGTTTGTACATCCCCTATCAATCAGCCAAGTTCTAGCATTAAATTGAACAACGTAGTAGGATGCCACAAATAGCTGCTGAGATTCTGAATTTCGTTGCATATCTTCAGCAGTCTGTGCTTGCTGTGCAGGCTGCTATTATTTATTTTTGCATACTTTTTCAATATGGCCTAGCTACTTGCATGCCCTGCATTGAACATTTGGTCTGAACCATCACTTGTACTCAGCATGGTTCTTCTTTTTGCAGTGGGAACATGGTGCAAAACTCCTGAAACTTGCTGGTTTGTTCCACTGATTGTTTACTCTCTCCTTTCCTCTTTTCTCTCCTGTAAACTTCTTGTTTCCTCCTTGAGTTGGCTTGCTCTTCTGCTGGACAATCAATGTAGCTTCACCACTGTCCTCCTACTTCAGTTTTCTTCTTTGCACTTGAGCTTGAAGAGCATGGACAAGTTCGGTTAAGGTGATTTGAGATAAGTCTTTGGAATCCTCCAAAGAAGAGATTTTTGATTCAAACCTTTCGGGTAGGCTTACTAACACCTTTTCAACAATTCTTTTATTACTTATCTCTTCTCCTAACAATCTTATCTTGTTAACCACGTTCATTAATCTATCTACATACTCTTTAACCACTTCAGCCTCTTGCATTTTCAGTGTCTCAAACTCTCTCCTTAGGTTCAAGACTTGCATGTTTCTGGTTTGGGTGTTTCCTCCAAATTCTTCCTTAAGCTTGTCCCAAGCTTGCTTTGCTATCTCACAAGCCATTATCCTTGTGAAAACTTGATCGGTGACTGCAACATGTAAATGGGACAGGGCTCTTGGAGCTTTTGCAGTCTTCTCTTCATGGAGTCTTATCTGGTTCAGGTTTGGGTTTGGTCCCAATTGTGGTGGCTGTTTCTCTTCCTGTACATACTGCCATAAACTCTAACCTCTCAAGTAAGCCTTCATCTTAACAGTCCACATATGGTACTGTTCCCCATTGAAGGTTGTAGGCAAGAGTGAGGCTGAACTTGTTGCCATGAAGCCTGTTTTCGGTGAGGTAAGGACTGACAAAGAGTGTGCAAAGCTAGAGGTTTTGCAGGCCCCTTAAGATCAGGGTATTGCTCTGATACCACTTGTTGGTTTTATGAGCATGAATGTGGTCTTACGGGAGAGAAAAAGATGATGAACAAGGGAGAGAAAAGAGTAGTCATATTTGCATTACTGTAAACTGAAAATTACAGCAGAACTTTATACACACACAGACACTATTGCACCTAACCATTAAACATATTTTACTCCAAAATATCATCCTAACCATACGATTCTTAGCAACTCTGATTACATCACATTAATTTGATACAAAGTTGACAACCACATACATGCTAAATTCACCAAAATACATCACTTCAGCATGCCTACAGATTAACTACGTGAACTGCTCCAGACCAGCTTCCAAACTTCAAACTTTTTCTTTTGCCGCTAGAACACAGCTCCAGTTTAATCCAAAATATTGCTTCAAACAAAGTATCACTCCTTTGAACACAAGCGACCAATCAAATACATATTTTAAAGACTGGCAAAGAAGAATTACTTTCAACAATTCAAGAAATTAGAATAATGAAACCAAAAAATCAAATCGTCGATGCATTTGCTACTGTTTAATTTCAACACGGTGGCATATCGGGTGGTGGAGGCAACATTTTTCCTTTTGGGCCCTCACCATTTTTGATAATGAATGCCATCTCCATTCCCCATGAAAAATGACGCTCTAGATGGCAGTGCATGAACCACACTCCTGTAATAGATAAAGGAGAGAACGAATTTTGTTAATAAAATAAAACTAGCAAAAATCCTAAGAAATAACAAAAATTTTATGCACATACCAGGGTTGATTGCCTTAAATCTTATGGCAGCCCAGCCATTCTTGGGGACAGCAATGGTGTTTTGAAGAGGAGGGTCAACAAGATTATATTTCAAAGGATCTTTTTCTTTGTCATAGTTCCCAAATCCCCAACCCACAACATAGAAACTGTACCCATGTAAATGCATGGGATGATCCGTCCCTGCAAGCAAATTTGTGCCTTGAAAAACAAGCTCCACCGTCGTATTGTACTCAAGAACCTTCACTTTAGTAGCTTGCTCGGGAGTCTCCAAGTACGAAGGAAAAGAATCAGCCGTGAAATCAAAAAATTGCGGCGGTTTGCTAGGGAATTTGTCACTGTAAACATTGCTAATGTTCAAATAATAAGCCTTTAAAATGTCAATGGAAGGCGACACAAAGCTTATGTTGTTAACGCTAGCCGAAAGCCTCGTTCTGTTAGGCCCCTAGCACGCATTACCCTCGATGCACGGCAATGTGTTGACAGAAACTGTGAAAAATAAATTGGTGCTCACGTTTAACGGGACATTAATGGGATGATTTTCATCGGCTAAGGATTTGAGCCTCCCTGTGAAATTAACTGAAGCACTTGTGTCATTGTAATAAGGGAGATATGGTAAAGGAGATGGTGATGATGGAGTGTATTTTCCATTGTATTGTAAAATGGCCGTGGTGGTTGTGTTATCGTATTCAACTCCATCGGCGCTCGAATAAACTCTGGCGGCCATGTAATAATGGTCGAGTGGCTGGTTGGCTTCGAGCAAAACGTCAATGGTTTGGCCTGGTGAGATTGTGATATAGTCAACTTTTAACGGTTTTGTATAGCTGCCGTCTGTTCCCACAACTGTGAGTTGATGATTCTTGATGGCGAAGAACAGAATGTCACCAACTGCGGCATTGACTAGGCGGAGGATGTAAGTTTTTCCATAGTTCACCATTAACTTGAACGTGTCTGTAATAAAACGATTAATTGGATTTGTAGTAAATAATTTGCCGACAATTAAATGAATTAATGGATGATTAGCCTACTGATTTGACAATTGGAAAGAAAATGACCATCTCTTCAAAATTGTACCTAATTAATGATGTGACCAAGCACTATTTACCTTAGCGAAAAGGATTCTCTAGGCTTATATTCTTTGAATAGACAGGTTTAATTTTAATTCATCTTTTATAAAAACAATAATACTATACTCACGAAACAACTTATAACTTCACCTTTATTAAAATTATATATGGTACATGTACTATATTTATAATATCTGTACTATATTTTATATTTATAAAGGTGAATAAAACGATTAATAAGTTCATGAGTAAGCATAACATTATTGTTAGAAAAATTAAGAATTCTTTCCTTTCCTGATTAAGCACGTGATTAGACTCATTAGTGTAATTTGAATCATACTTATGAATATACTTAATCTCATCCGAAGAGTAAACTCATTACGTTAAGTTCCTCCTTGTTTAGATTCATCATTCTTTTTTAACTTAATAAAATTTTCTTTATACTGTTGAAATTCTCCCTAAAAAAAGTGTACTGTGAATTATACCTGATTTTGAACAAGGATATAGATCACCAGGCTGACCATTAATGGTGTAAGCATCAGAAATATTGGGATCAGTTCCTGACTGAAGAAATTCATTGTAAACCTCCACTATGTCTCGCTTCCACCACTCGCCTGCAATTTCATAATTTTTGTTCAAAATTATGTGACCAAATTACACTCATAATCTCCAAATTAATAGAAAGGAACGGTAGAAACTCGTGTTATATACATACCAAATACAATCGGCACATCAGCATGAGGCTTGGGAAAAGGATAGTTTCCTGTTCTTTGGATAGACGACAATGGCTCCATGAACTGTCGCTCGCGACCAGTCGCTGTGTGCATGCCACCATATAGTTCCTTCTTCAGTGGAAAAAATAACCTTTTGGCTAAATTTTTGTCCTGGTCGAATAGGGCACTGTGTGATGAACTCGGGGCCATCTGACCACAGATATCTTGGCTGTTTCACTCCATGCCTGCAAAAGTTAATGGTTTATATATGTGAATAAAATTGTAATAATTGAGGATTTACGGAACATTAAATCGATATAATTAAGAATAAGAGAATAACTAATACCAATGAATTGTGATGTTATAGTGTGCCTTGTTATAAACGTCCACAATAATTGTCTCTCCCTTGTTGACATAGAGAGTTGGTCCAGGGAATTGCCCATTCACCGTCAAGATCGTTTTTGTGCTGCAAAGCTTTGTGTATTCAGTGTCTTGAACCTGCAATTGATCGAACTCGATTAGTTTTTATATATAGAATTAATGTTCTATCAAAACTTCATCTAATTAATTGTATCATGTGTAAATAATGTACATATATGAAATTAAGTTATCATGAAGATAAGACCATTAAGATGAAGTAATTAAATCTATAAATGTAATACTTACAATAAAAGTGTGACGAACCACAGCTTGACAATAGAGGAAGCTACTAAATAATAGAAATTCTAAGATTTGGAAGACTGAAAGTTTCATGATCGACAACATTTTTCTCTTAATGTATATCTTAAACTCAATACAACTCAGATTTGAAGAATGAAGATAAGATGAAAACTGTTTCAATATTTATACAGGCATCAAGGGGTAACAGGACCAAATTAAGTTAGGCCAGAATATTCTACTTCTGATGACTTCTGGGTATATAAATTTCAACTTTGTAACAAGCTCCTCGCCCAGTCAAATTCAGCTATTCCTTACTAAAATCCAACAGGCGAAGACGTGATTATCACAGAAACAAATTCAATAATAGCAAATTCTTGGCAATTTCATCGACAGATATTAAGAACTATATTTCATATTCTACAGTTAATAAAGGTCAGGAAAGCTGCTACCAAGTACATTGAAAAAAAAAAAAAAAAGAGTGGAAATATTTGAAGAGAAATAAAGAGTTTTAATCTAAATTCACAAGTTATTCCTCATTTTTCAAAACTGAAACCTAAACCTAATTTTGAATTATTCTCTTAATTATTAGCAAGGGGATCTCCATAACACTTGTTCAAATCAAGTGTTTATGACTCAAGAATAATTTTTCATTGATCACGAGACTAAACTTTCACTAATTAATTAATTAATTAAATTAATCAGTTAAATATTCTCTACTATATAATAGCCGGACAGCCTTAACATCAAATTCATGAAGGTAGCCACTAAAGNTTTTTTTTTGCTCTTTCCTTTCTACAAATCTTGTATTTAAATCCCCTCAAATTATGAAAAACAGGTTACAAAATTTTCACATAATTTACATTGTAAACTCTCACTGCAAATACAAAACAGTGGACATAGGCGTCAAAGTTTACCTCACCAAACCACTTTAAAAACTCTCATTGTCTTTTAATTTATTGCATCTTCATACTTTCATCGCTGATGATCTTTAATCACACTCACATCCATTTTGGTTTCAACAGGGTCAATCAAAATTCTTTGTTAGATTCAGATTTCTGTATCAACATTTTGGCGTTAGAAGGAGTGCTCCATCAACATCTCAGGTATTCTAGCAAACAATCACAACAACCAACCCAATCTAGGCCCACAGGGTGTACACTAGGTCACAGACTAGCATCGAAAACCTTGAAAATGTGGACCACTAGGAAGTGCAACAAGACGTTGTTAGACACCAGCTGCCTATGCCACCAACTCAACACGTCACAAACCACCAGGGGGCAGGGACTTCAAACCCTGAGAACAGCCAGCTGGTGGAGAAGATCAAAACAATGGTTGCATAGGCGGTGCAACAAAATGTGGCTGAGCTAAGGAACCAACTGCCCAGAATCTCAACCAGCCATGCTTTACCAATGCCAACCCAACAGGTGTGAATTCTGCGGGTGGACGATCCGCTTCGTCAGCATAAGTGGGTGACCAACACCCTTGAAATCTGAAATTGCACTTCGTTTAAGAGCACGAATCCTGTAGGCAAACTAACCCCAAAAGGCGACCAGGAAAGCAACTGCTAAGGGAAAGTGAAAACAACAGACACCCCTAAGATGCTTGACGATATCCCCAACATCAGCGTGCCAGTATTAACCCACGCCCAAGATAAGATCTATCCTTGTAGGCTCACGGGACCAGCCAAGTGTGTCAATCTGGCAATAACAGACATTCTTGTTATAACTGATGTCGCGAGCAACGTACTGACAAGCATGATAGCACTTATCAGCCTAGCCATCATGACTCGACCTCGCACATCAACGCGTACATTGGAGGGACTTCGTAAGCGACAGATTTGTGAACCCATTTGCTTGAAGTGAGGCTGAACAGAGCCAACCAGGGCAACCATAATTAAGACTTAGATCGCATGCAAAAAATGTTTTATGATCTGAGAGCTTGCCTGAATGGCACAGTGGAGGAAATAGTAAGTTCCCCCTTCATAGAAGAAGTTCACCAGCCTCGCTTCCATAAGGATTCAAGGTGCCAGAGAGCAAGTTTGATGGGAGAGGGGACCTTAAAGACCACCTCGATAATTTCAATAACTTGATAGAGCTACACCAGGTATATGACTTGGCTAAATGTCGATGCTTCGTGGTCACATTGTTAGGGGAAGCCAAGAGGTGGTATAATAGGCTCAAGGCGAACTCCATCCACTCTTGGCAACAATTCTCCTCGCTGTACTTATAGCAATTTCAAGAAAAGAGGTGGTTCGCGATACCGCTCAGCTACCTGAGTAACATTCGTCAGGAGAGAGACGAAACACTAACCTCGTACCTAATGATGTTCTAAAACAAACAGGCAAAGGTTGCCCGTGGAGTCCATTTGAACTTTGATAATTACAAGGATCTGACTGAACACAAGGCTATGGAAAGAGCTCCAAAGTGAAAATCAAGTAAGCTTTGCTTGATTCTATCAAATGGTTGTAAAATACCAGAAGATAGAAAGCTCGCTGGCAGCATTGTCTAAAAGCTTGGCGCAAGGAGCCTCGGACAGGTGACAAGATCACCCATTGGATAAGCGTAGGGACCAAGACCGCAACGATAGGGACCGCAACGATAGGGACCGCAACAGGTTCCAAAAAAGACAAAGAACAGATAACTACATAGACGTACAACCTTTCTCGTAGTATGCAAAATACAACCCCTTCACTCAAGATATTGCCCACATATATGAAGTCTCTCGCGAGGCGAAGAGATTGCCCGCTCCAGAAAGAATGAGGCGGGCACTGGGCAGAAGAGATCAGTAAAAGTACTAGCGGTACCATAAGGACATCAGGCACAACCCAAATGAGTGTCAAGCTTTGAAGGATACCATTGAGGACTTAATAATAAGTGGCCACCTAAAGGAATTCATTAAGGCAGCACCAGCTCGCGAAAATACTGGCGAGCAAAATAACCAGGTCTAAAGCCAGGTTCAGAACCAGGTCCAACAAGCTCCGCCTAACCCCAATGACATCTTGGTTGGCAAGATTTACAGGGGGCTCGACATAGTGAGGAACTCAAGGCGTGCTTACGGGCAATATGCTCGAAAGGCCAAAGCAGACTCGGTTCCTTAAATAATAAGTTAAGAACAGAAGCTGCTCAAGCAACCCATACAAGATAGCAAGGTAGTGGGATTCACAATCGAGGAATGCAAAGAATCCTCTCACCACAACTATGATGCGTGATCGCGACTAGAAGCGAAAACGCTTGAATGTTAAGGGTAATGGTCGATAATAGGAGTGCAACAAACATCATTTTTCTACGACCTTTCCGAGGAATGAGGTTCACAGAGAGAGACCTGAGGGCATTCCCTTTGCCACTCTATAGGTTTACCAGGGATAGCCTGGTTCCCAAAGGAACGATCGACCTTCCCATGACTCTAAGGGTAGAGCCCAAGACCAGGACGGTGATGGCCGAATTCCTAGCGGTAGACTACCTGACTGCATATAATATCATCCTCGAAAGACTAATCTTGGATGACTTAAGTGCTGTCACATCAATGCACTATCATGCAATGAGATTCCGACTCCTAGGGGAGTCGCGACAATCAGAAGTTGCGGAAAGGAATCTCGAGAATGTTATAACCAGGCCATACATACAGCACAAAAAAGATCGCTCATGAGAATAATGGTCATAGCAGAATCCAAGCCTAACCCCAAACCACTTGAGGATACTATAGATCCTCGTATCCATAGAGAAGAGTTGCGGTAGGGCCGACTGAAAAGCTACGAGAAATAACTGTTAGCGAGGAAGATGCAACTCACATGCTACTTGAGAAATGGCTAGAAATCTGGTAGGGTTCCTAAAGAAGAACCTCGATGTGTTCATGTGGGTGCACACGAATATGGTTGGGATCAACCTCGAGGTAATGTGCCACAGGTTAAACCTCGACCCTTAAGCTTGGCCCATAAGGTAGAAAAGAAGGGCTATGGATGTAGAGCACTCTCAAGTGCTCAAGGATGAAGTTGACAAACTCCTGAAAATCAACTTCATTAGGGAAGTCAAGTACTTGGACTGGCTCGCCAACCCAGTCCTGGTCAGGAAGTTGAATGGCAAATAGCGGACTTGCGTCAACTTCACGGATCTAAAAAAAGCTTGTCCCAAAGACAGCTTTTTGCTACCACAGATCGACCAGCTAGTAGTGCGACAGTAGGAAATGCACTACTCAGCTTTATAGATGCGTACTTGAGATATAATCAAACCCTGATGAAGAACATACTTCTTTTATTATTGACCGTGGAATTTATTATTACAGGGTTATGTTATTTGGCCTCAAGAACGTTGGGGCGACCTATCAGCACTTAGAGAATAAGATGTTCATTGACCAAATTGGCCATACCATGAAGGTATACATCGACGACATGCTCGTCAAATCAAAGGTCATCGAAGCCACGTTGAGCACTTGGGGGAAATTTTTGACATCCCCAAAAAGTTTCGAATGAAGCTTAATTCTTTGAAATGTACTTTCGGGGTGAGCTCGGGGAAATTTTTGGGCTTCTTCATAAACCAACAAGGTGTAGAAGCCAACCTAGAAAAGATTTAGGGTCAGCTCGACATGAAAATCCTGACCAGCATAAGACAAGTGCAGAGCTTGATAGGGCATGTGGCCACACTCAGCAAATTCATTCCCCAAGCCACGGACATATGTTTGTCGTTCTTTGAGACCTTGAAGGGGAAGAAAGATTTCAAGTGAATAAAGGAGTGTGAAAGAGCCTTCCAGGAGCTAAAGAAACATCTAAGACAACCTTCTTTGCTGCCAATGCCCATTCAGGGTGAGTCATTGCTGCTATGTTTATCAGTATCAAAGTCTACTGTTAGCACAATGTTTGTACGTGAAGAGGATGGAGTACAATGGTCGGTATACTATGTAAGCAAGAGACTATTTGACGTGGAGATGAGGTACCTAGAGATGGAGAAGCTCACCTTTGCCCTTATCACCGCTGCTAGAAAACTGCGACCCTATTTCCAAGCACACTCCATCCACGTGCTAACAAATTTCCCACTAAAGAAAATAATGCAGAAGTCCTAGACATCTAGTAGACTGATCCAGTGGACCATGGAGATAAGTTAGCATGACATCAAGTACATCTTGATGACAGTGATCAAAGGTCAAGCCTT